GTGTGTGTGCATGCTTCATATTAATTATAGGAGTTCTTGACATTGTTGCATCTGGCAGGGGGTGTCTGAGGAGGGGGATAGGAGTCCCTTGTAATGACCTGTGCTTTTCTTTGGGTCCTTGCCTTCACTCCAGCAAAGAATCAAGAAGTAGAGCTATTAGCAGAAAATGAAGGAGTCCAGACTGATACAGTACAGAGCAAAAGTTAAATAAAGTGTGGAAAGTAACAGAAGCAAAGCTATCTTAGCAGCAGAGTGGTGCTACAAGATACAGGATGCTATGTATAGATAGGCTGCGTATAGATGTCCCCCAAAGCCTCATGCAGTCATAGGTGGTGCTTTTCAGAATCTAGAGCGTGTGACTGACTTGTGGTGCAATGCTAGGTTCAATGGCACTAGCATTAAGGATGTGAATGCTACTTGCCTTACATAGCCTGGATAAGATAAAGGGGGCAGAAAGAAGCTGTTAAAGTCCCTTGATGCTTTTGCTACCTTGTGCACCCCATGTTGTTTCTCCTCTGTGATGCCTATCTGCCATCCGCCCCGCCTTGGAGCCAGCCAGTTATGAACCTCTACAAACTGTGACCTAAATAAAACTTTCCCTGTTTAACTTTGGATGTTGCGTATTTTGTGTTAGCAATGGGAAAAGTAACTAAGACAGGGGACATCGCTGTCAGGATGCCTGGTGAGTATGAGATGTGCCCATACTTACATGGATAAACTGTTTTGTTGGTTGGCATGGGCTAGGCCAATCAGGGTCTTAGCCTTTGTTTCTGGAAAGGGGTCAAGGTCAGTTGGGAATTAAGCATGAGTAACATTTTCATAATACTGTAGGGTGCATTTTTTTAAGCACATGGTACACAGATAGGCAGATGATAATTTTATAATCATCAGCTACAGAAAAGCATGTGATGATTCTACTATCTCATCCAAATCTTGCCCTGAGTTTTTTTTATGTCGCTTTCATCTGTCCTTACAACATAGCTTTGATAACAGTTGTTCTTTGATGGGCTGTGTCCTCCCATCCCATCACATTGTATTTCCTAGGTTTTCAGTTTGGGGATGTTGTCTTTCAGTGTCTGATTTCTCTGTCCTTTGAAGTAAGTGTGTTGTCCAAAACTGTCTTCCTTGTCTTTATTTTATGTGTGCGTTGGGGGGGGTTGTTTGTTATTTGTCTGTTTTTTGTTTTGTTGTGGGGGCAGGGTCTTACTGTGTAATTCAAGGCTGACCTTGAACTCGGGGCTGTTCTTCTGCCTCAGGTGTATGCCACAATACCCAGATTCCTGCCTTTTAATGGCAAGTTTTGAGAGGCCATGTGTTCCTGAGATACTTTTGTTTTGTTCTCATGTTTGAATGTCACTTCAGCCAAATATAAAATTCTGGGTTTGAAGTTCTTTTTCTTCAGTAAGTTACAAATACCATTCTATTATGTCCTTGCATTCTATGTCAATCTGATTCTTATTTCTTTGAAAGGGATCTCTTGTGTCTTTTTGAAAGGTTTCCATGTCTTTTTATTGTCTTCATAATTGATTTTTGAGACATTTGGTTTTTTGTTTTGTTTTTGGGTTGGGTTTTTTTGTTTTGTTTTGTTTTTTTGAGATAGGTGTTAATCTTGATTATCCATTTATTTGCTTCATGAAGTGCCTAGGAGATTAGTAAAGCACACTTCCAAGTGTGTCTAGTGAGATCATGGGAGCATAGCCTTGGGGACCCCCTGGCCCCTTTCTCTCTTTTGTGCTCTTCTTGCTGGCTGTGATGAGCTTGGAGCTCTTCTCTCCTGTGGCCTTTTGCCCACGATGCTGCTTCAGAGCCAGCCAATCAGGGACTACAACTCGGAGCCAAAATGGACATTTTCTCCTTGAAGTTGTATATGTCAAGCTTTTTGTCCTAGCATCCAAAATTTTGACTAGTACATGGGATCTCACTATGTTGGCCAGGCTGCCCTGGAACTCGGCTCATGCAGTCCCTTTGCCTCAGCCTCCTGAATAACTGGGATTACAGCATACCTCTAACTCCTAGTTGTCTTTAATGTTCCTGCAGCTAATCACTGCAGTGTTCCTAATTTGCAGATGTACTCGATCTGTAAAATGGGGATTGGTACCTAATAGAATGTTGTGGCAATTAAGCAATCTGAGTAAAGCATATAAAACAAATGCCAAATAGTAGAGACTAAAGAAGTATCAAGTACTTTTTTCATTATTAAAATTACTTATTCCAGTTTTGTTAATTTTTGAGCCTTTTTTATTGCTTCTGCTTTTGCGTAATCTTTGCTTCTTATTGTCCATTAGTGTGGTCATTCAGAGGACAAACCCACACGAAGCCATTATTAGCTAATGTTATCTGCAAAAGTGAGATTACAGACTTCAGTGACTGATTTATCCATGCTATGTTTATTCAAATAGCCATAGCATGGATATGTAAAGTTGTGTGATGTCCTTGTTTAATTTCCTATTTAAGAAAACTTTACATTTTCAGTATTTATAACGTTTATTTCTTAGTCAATAATCAGGTTATTTTTTTCTTAAACTCTCTTTCTGTTAATTCCAAAACGTTTATTCTGACCATTCCATCTCCTGGCTTTAGATAGCCTACTATCTATTTTGGAGGGGTCACTCTGTTGTCCTGTTGTCCTCTGAGCAGTGTGTAGCTCCACCTCTGCAGAAGAACCTACAGACCTTGTAGAGAGGCTTGGTTACAGGACTGTTCTCTTGCCTTTTGGTCTTAATTCCAAACTGTGGCCCATAGTCCTGTGAGGTAGCTTGTAGCTAAGGTATGATCACTTGGGGTGACCCAGGAAAAACCTAGGTTTTTTTCAAGCCATCTAATTTGTCTGGACATGCACTCCCTCCCTGTCTTCTTAGAGGCAGGAGATGCTGAAATCTCCTCTCAGCCCAGGGTGTGCTCCACTGGGATCCTTGGCTTCATGTTCTGCGTGTGACTCATGAACCAGCCCAGGGCTGGAGGAAAGTTTATGTGCAGAATTTGGCTCCCTCCTTTCTCTGGTTATGCCCTGAAATTTCCTGTTGGCTGCTGAACTCTGACTCCTCAGCCTAGGAAGCCAAGTGTTTTTGAGCTGAGTACTGTCCCCGTGTGCTGTGCTAATTGTAATGCCAGGAGAAGTGACTCATTCACAGCGAGTCTCTCATGCTAAGTATCATAACCCCTCCAGTTTCCGCTTACACTTATTTCTTTGGTATTTCCAAATGTTGTTGTTGTTGTTGTTTTAATCTTGTCTACAGTTTTTCATTGTTATTGGCAGAGGGATTAGTTGGATACAAATGAGTCTGCCATTACTGGAATGCAGAAATCCCAATCAATAAGGACATTATGGGCATTATGGATGAAAAGATAAACAACAAATCTGCATGGTTTGCATACGACTCAGTATTAGGCCCAAAAATGCATTATCTGCAGATTACACAGTCAGCCGCTGAGAGATCTTGACTTAGTATGAAACGCTTATCAGAGCCATGTGTGTCTGCACTGGTGCTGAGACTGCAGAGGTGCCTAGAAGCGGGCCCAGTGGGATCTTCTCAGAACGAAACCACCGGAGGCCACTGTGGAGAGGTCCGTGGTAGAGGGACTACTGTGTACCCTCAGGAAAATATGGCCCTTATGTTTATTTCTTTTGCTTTTTGAATAATAAAATACTGCCGCAGCCACAAACAAAACATAACTTCCTCTCTGCTGGAATAAACTAGTCACTGCCAGCAGGTTTGGTGGTGAATGCCCGCACTCTGGGGGGCTGATGCAGAAAGATCACAAGTTTGAGCCCAGAGGAGGCAACTTAGTGACTTAATGAGACCCTGTCTCAAAAAACAGGGGTGTAGGGATGAGAATGTAGTTCACTGTGAATGCTTAGGTTCAACCCCCAATAACACACAAAAACGGGGCAGTTCACTTCCATTTCTGCCCTGATTGTGACCTCTTCATTTTCTTCCCCTCCCTGCATATACTGTCCACCAGCAATACATGGAAATATATTTTGTAAATACCCTAGAGAATCCATTGCATGTTCTAAACATCATAAGTAGAAAAACATGTTATACACCTGGCCCATGGAACATTGTATGTTAGCTATACTACCCTTACCCCAGTAGAGTATAGGTTGTCTCCCTTGTGGTTGGGTGGCTTACAGGGAGCGGCAGCTCACTGCATCATAAGAGAGTATTGAACTTAGTATCATGAGCCTGGAAAGAGTTCAGAAGTCATAGTGCAATTTTGACTGAATTTGTTGCTTTCATACCATTGCAGAGTTGAGAAATTGCAAATTGAGCCGTCATAAGTCAGGGGTCGTCTGTATTTGTTGTATACCTGCTATTGCTGTTGAAGGGGTTACTTGTTCTTAATTTTCAGCATAGATAAATCAAGCATTTTACGTGTCTTCTACTAAAAACATACAGTTGCCTTTTTATGCAAGGTTGCCATTGATTCTGTGCCAATGGCCTTGACAGGGGAAAAGAAAGGTGGTTTCCTGCCTTCTGACAGTGCGTTCAAGTTAAATAAGGCCTTGCTGCTTCTATTGTAGCTCTTGAGAATGGATTTTTCTGCATATGTGGAGTCTCTCCATTGCAACTCCTTTGATTTCATGATGATTACATAATTGAATTTGTGTTCCTTTGTCTTCTCCAGCCTCTTCTGTGTACCTTTGGGTTATTCTCAGCTCACTTTCTTAAGAAGGAAAAAATGAAATTCCAATCCACTCTAGTAGTAGCGTAGAAGCTTCCATTTCTGGGGCTTTGCAGAACTGCTCTTGGAGGAAAGCTGCACACCAGCTCTTTTCTCTCCACTGATAACCCCAGTTGTGACTCAGGAGTCTAGCGCCTGTGATAGATTGGCAGTGGGAATTTCTTCCCAATTCTAAACACTGCCAGAATTAAGGAAATCTGGATATTCTTGTTTACCAGGACAGTCCCCTACCCACGTTCTACTCTTCTGTTGGACAGTGACATTTTCCTTCAGTATTCCGTTCCTGCCACTCACGCTCTTTCCTTTCTCTGCAGGTTTTGCATGCAGAAATGTGTTAGTCTGGTGCCCGGAGTCACGCTGGATTTGATAGAAAAGTAAGTAAAATTGTGAAACCCTTGTGGCTTTCCAGATCTAAAGGTTTCTTTTCTTTTTCTTATTCTTGGTTCTCAGCAGTGCTTTCTGTCAAGTGGGGGATGTTCCCTTTCATGTGGCTATGTACTTCTGTTCTCTGATTAAGACTATTTTGTGCTGGTTACACTGGTGCTTAGTATAGGAGGCAGCTAAACATGGAGCCATATTCAAAGAAGAAAAGCCAAAAGCTTAACATTTAAAAATATTCTAGACTTGGGCCTGGAATTTAGTTCAGTAGTGCCGTGCCTGCCTTGAAAGTACAAGGTCCTGAGTTCGATCCCTGGTTTTAAAAGATCTAGACACTTCCTCCAAGCCCAGACACAGCACTGCAGACACAGTCTACCTCTGCCTTCCTTGGCTGAAACAGCCAGATCCTAGTAACACTTTGACCGTATTTTCTTATAATTTGCAACTTCGATCCCCAGCCCCAGCACCAAGCATTTTACTGTCTGAGGCCGACAGGTTCCAGAAGCTGCCCCCACCCCAGACTTTCCATGCTCTCACGGACCACCATGTCTGTCTCTTGATCTTTTGGGGTTTGAAGTGGCATTGCTGACTCTAAACATAACTTGTTGTTCAAGCTTAAGGGTTCATATGTTCATTTGATTCCTTGACTCACCTTGACTCAGTGTGGACAAATGGAGTTGTGTGAAACCTTGTGCTCCGAACTCTGTACATGATTGTTTTCCAAGTCCTGTTACACAGAATCATATGTTAAAATAATATTTAAGCCAAGACATAAATTGTCTGTAGTAAGTTAGATGGGAAAAACAAATCTAAGGTTCTCCATAGTAGAAGTTTTGTGTGTAAGCAGAAGTGTCAGGAGTATTTTGTCATGATGATCAGTCGTGTTATGCTCCTGCAGTGGCACACTCACAGCACCACCGGCCAGAAGAACACTGGCCAAAATATTTGCTGTCCCGGCTCCCAGTCTTGTCAGGTCAATCCGTGTGCAGGACAATGCCCCGGGGTCCCAGTCACACTCGTGGCTACAGTGGATAAGGCTCTACTTCTGTTTATTGAGTTGTTTAGTCAAACCTTCATATTTTACAGAAAAGGACCTGGCCCTCAGTTTAGTTCCGAATCTCCAGTACCTACCTGTAGTTTCTCTACGACACCAGGATCTTCCACACCAAGACCTTGGTCTTAGGATAGTTAGCTGCCATCACAATCATCCAGACATGCACCAGGGCCAACAACATGACCTTCAAAGCCCAGTCCACCCAAGGAGAAACTGGCAACTTGTCCTTCATCCAAACATAAACCATTTGCTCTCTCAAAGACACAGCTAATGAGGTATATAGATAGGTTACATATGTGGAAAAAATATTTGCAAGTCACAGAGTTGACAAAGGATATTTGTATCTGGAATCTATGTAAAAACATCTGAAACTCAAAAACTAAAATCCAACTAAAAATTAGACAGAAGTCATGGAGAGACACTTTACCAAAGGAGGGGGTAGGATGGCAAATAAGCACCTGAAGGGATGCTCAAAATTACTACCCATTTGGCAAATGGAAATGAAAACAACTGCATACCTGTAAAATGGCTAAAATTAGAGCTGGCAGTGCCCCTTGCTGGGAAGGCTGAGCAATACTGGAACTGCCACACACCTCTGGGAAGGCAGGCGTGCAGCTACACTAGAAGGGTTGGGCAGCTGCTTTTTGATTTAAGTGCACATACCCTGTTAATTGTCGTTCTAGTCATCACTGTTCAAACTAGAAAAAACTAAACGTCTTTCTCCACAGAGCAGATGAATGACAAGACTAGTTCGTGCATACCTGGGCCATGCAATACAAGTTATCCCAGCAGCACTGTGGGGAGTATCAGAAGCCAGTTTCCGAGGATGACTGCTAGTTAGCTTTCCTTCTCTGTAACAGACTACCTGAGAATAACAGCTTAGAGGAAGAGTTTGTTTGACTCACAGTCTCAGAGGTTTCAGTCCATGGTCACTTGGCTCCATTGCTTCTGGGCCCATGGTGAGGCAAAACATCAAGGCACAGAGCACACGGCAGAGCAAAGCTGCTCACTGGATGGTGACCAGGAGGCAGAGAGACAGCAAGGGGCCAGGAAGATACACCCCTCCCAGCTGTGAACTCAACCTCTACCTCTAGCCCCCACCTCTGAGCATGGCAACACTGGGGATCAATCCTTCAACACTTGAGTCTTTGGGAAACACTTCATCTTTAAACCACCACGGCAGCCTGTGGTCTGATGTCATTTCTGTGACATTCTGGAAAAGGCAGAACTATGAGGTCAGATAGCAGGCTGTTGTTTGGTAAGGGTCAGGAATGTGGCGCACATGACTTGAGGGACTATCAGGGAAGAAATACTGAGTATGGCTCCACAGACCTCTGCATATGTTAAAGCTATAGAACTTACACCAGATGAGTCATTTTGCTGTGATAACTGAAAAAATAAATTAATACATAATTTTTATGGGAACAGGGATCAAGGCTGTAAGAGAAACAGGTTAAAATTTACATTGTCCCCTTCTTTCTTCCTCCTCTTTTTTGTGCCAAGTGGTGCTAAGAAGTTGGTTAAATGTTAAAAGTTCGTATTTTTTTTTAATGTAAAAAGATAAATAAGAGCCAGGCATGGAAATGCACACCTGTAGTTCCTTCACTTGGGAGGCTGAGGCAGGAGGATTGCCATGAGTTTGAGGCCAGCTTGAACTACATAGCAAGAATTGTTAATAGTAGGCATTTTCACAATGTACCCCATTTGGGGCGGTGGTATGGCAGAAGAATGAGGACATTAGAGTCAGAGTGGCTTAGGTCCTGCCCTTGTGACACCTCTGGGCTCATTCTTAACACCTGCCGTTGTACCACATGAGCAGCCCCCAACATGCGCATCCTCCCTTTGCGCAGACTTGTCCCCTCCCCAGAGACACTCTCCAGATGCTGCAGGGTGGAGGACTCCTAGGACAACCTTGCAGTCCTGAAGCCCTTTACATGACAGAGCAGGGGCATGGCCCTCATACGTATCTGTTCCCTTCACTATCAGATAAGTGTCACCACAGGACCTTTGAAAATTACGTATCCATGTTCATTTGTGAAATTAAAAGCAGTAATTCTGGTTTCAGAGAGACTTGCATTTTCAAAAGATTATTATTGAGATTCACCTATTTAACAAATTGTTTTTGAACTTCAATCTTCACTGTGAATAACCTTTTAAGGTGTGCGGATCTGAGTGATTACCCTCTGAATACAGTTCAGCCGAAGTACAGTGGACCCTCAAGTTACAATCAGCCTGGCATACGAACAACGGGCTATGACTGAAATTTTAATTTTAACTTAGGACTAAAGTCTTGAATCTTGATTGAATGCCTGGCCACTTGTGCTTCCATGGTCTCAGATGCAGAATTAACTCTTAAAGAGTTATGGAAGGTGTGGGAATGTAGCTCATTGGTGCTGTGCCTGCCTGGCAAGCGCAAGGTTCTGAATTCGATCTCTGGTACTGCAACAACAAAAAAAAAAACTTCTGGAAGGAACATTATGACATCCTTTCCTGTGTGGGGTTAACTGAGAAATCCTGGGCCAGTGTCTCTCTAAGGACACTGAGATCTGCCTGATACAGGAGAGAGACTTTGAAGGCTGTGTAGAGGAGCCTGAGCCTTCAGTTGACCAACTTGAGTTACAACCAGCCCTCGGAAATGAATTGCGTTGGTAAGTCAAAGGTCCACTCTACCTGCTGTTTTAGTTGAGTTCAGCTGAAAGAGACACAAATCAACATTTGCAATTTGAAGTACCCTACTGCTACTCTCCTTTGTGGCTTGGCAAAGGTTAAATTGGATATGAGTGGTTTAATTGTATTTATTTTTTTATGCCAGGAAAAATTCCAAACTTGAGAATTGTACCACACGAAGGGAAATCCCAGAAGCCACCTAGCCACAACTACTAGGTCAGTTTCTGAGCAGATACATGCTTTTCACTTTTACAGCTCACCTGAGAGATGTCTCCATTTAAAAGAAAAGGCTGTCATAATATTTGTGTAATAAACTTACAGTTTTTTCCCCAGTTATATTTACAGTTTCTTACGAAGAAAGTTTTTTAGCAAGTTAATTTTATTTTACAGTTGGAAAGCTGGGCTGCAAATGTAGCACATCTGTTTGACAGGGTCATCCCTGAGATTGTGGTTTTTGTGGTCCGAAGATACTCCTAGAAAAAATACCTCGTTATTATTACCTGTGCTGTCATTTTCTGGAGATACCTTCTAAGAGTGTGTTCACTTGTTTCAAGTGCTGGGATCATGGAAATTGCATGCAGAACCTCCTCGTTGTTCACACCATGTGGAAGGACGTATTAGGTCAGGTTCCCATGTGCCACACAGCACAGGGCCACATCAGACACTTGAAAAGCCTTTTTGAGTTTTTGTATATTTTTTTGTTTGTTTTTATCTTTAAAAAAAAAAATCATTGCTTGCTCCTTCGCAATTAGATCAGTCCCTTAGGCAGAATAATTAATTCTTCCCAAACTCCAGGGTTCGCGTTGGAGGATTTACATCTGGAGTGTCCCAGGCACTGCCCACTTAAGAGTCAGCAGAGAGTCACCCTCTGCTGTCCCTGGGTGGGAACATAGTCATAGTCTATCAGGCAGCATCCAGAGATTCCATTCATCCACTTGCCTTCCAAGCCACAGGACAGAACCAGCCGGGAACAGAGGCACCACCTCCCTGCCCGAGCAGCACTTAGAATTTTTTCTTTTTAAAAATTTATAAGTAGCTGATGTTTCAATAACCATAGTGTATTTCAAAATACAGAAATTTTTGAGTAGTTGAGATATTTTAATAAAAGCGTTTGCATGATAGTGACAAAGCTGTCAGAGCAGGTGCCTGGTGAGGTTAGTATAACTGGTTAGGTGATGCTGCTTGCTATGTCTGTTCTCCTTCCCAAGAGAGATGGAGCCTAGTTCTCTGAACCACTTCTGCATTAAAACTGGCAGAGGGCACCCATAATGGTGG